TACAGACCGGGGGGAGCGCCCGTCCCGGGCACCTCCTGTCCTTCCCAGCTCCGAATCGTTGCCGCTCCCCGCCCATGCCGGGCAGGAAGCCCCCCGCCGCCAGCCAGAGCCCGGCCGCATGCGTCCCCCTCCCCAGGGAAGGGCCAAGTGCCCCAAGTGTGAGGCCGGTGGCCACGTCCCAGATCAGGGACAGCGAGACCCCTTCCCCGCCAGACACATGGGGCTTTGGCACGCGGCGATGGTTGGGGCGAGGGGGGCAGGTGGATCCCAGCCGGATCCCAGCCAGACCACAGCTCCCCTGACCCCAGAGCGGGATCCCGTAGCCGGGGCGGCTCCATGCCCTTTCCAGTCCCTTCCAAGCGGCTTCTGGCTTTTTCCTGGTGCGTGGCTCCGCTCCCGGCGGTGGCTGTGCCGTGCCCGGTGCCTCGCAGGGCCTGGGGGGGGACTGGCCCCGGTGCTGGCAATGGCAGGATGGTGCTTCTCCCTGACGGCGCATCCTCGGCCGCGTCTGGTGTGGTTTCGGTGGCAGAGGGGAGCGGCGACGGCCGGGGCCAGACGAGCCCTCATGATCCGCAAGCGCTGGGTGGAAGCGAAACGGGGACCGGCAAAATATTTCCATGAGCGGCTTCGCCGGCCCCGGCCCCTTCGGCATCACACAGGCACTGCCGGGGTGGGGGGCACCACGCAGGGACGCAGGTGTTGTCACTGGCTCGGCGGGTTGGGAGGTCTCCCCCCTGCCAGGCGGGAGGCTGCCCCCTCCTCTGGCACGGAATGCGCCGGCTCCACGGTGAGACCCGGCGCTGCCGGAGGACGTGGCCCCCCGAAAGGCACTGAACGGCAGGGAGAGGGGGTGCCTCGGTCCCCGGCCCCGGCGGGGGCTGTCACTGGCTGCGGGGTTAATTCCCCTCCGACCGGGCCATCCTTGTTTCCGATGTATTGCGAGGGCTGGCAGCACCCCACTGGCATGCTGGCACAGGGCTTGGGGACCTTGGCCATAAAGCCGCCGGCGTGGGGCCGTTTGCCACGGTGCAACCGCAGGCCGGTGTTTTGGGGCTGAGCTGTGCCCCCTGCCCGGCCCTGAGGGGTGACGGTGGCTGAGGGACGCTCCCCCGGGACA